TTCTTTCCTCCCCCTTCCATAACATGAGGGATTAGATGGAATTAGATCCACCTGGAGACAAGCACCTCCCTCATTTTGTACGAGCTGGAGGCTGAGGAGCCATTTCTCCTCTCCCCTACACTGACCTTTTTGGTTTTGTGTAAGGTGTACATGGGCTGTGTAAGCCTAAATATCCCTTTCTCTCAGACCCTGTCACTTGCCGTGCGCTGTACTCCTAGGAATGATTCCAAGAAAAACATATTGAGTACCTTAAAGAGGGTTCCTCTGGCTTGAGCCGGGCTGGAGGAAGACGGGGGCTGATCGTGGCATTTTCAGCTCGCCGAGCTGTCTGAAAAGCTTCAGACAAGAGCTGACTAGTACCTTGGCTCAGGGATAGCTCTGGGCAAAGCTGCGCTGCCCCAGAGCACCACAGGGTCAGAGCAAGGCCAACAGAAGAGAAACAAACCTGGATACAAATTCAGTGGGTTCTGCAGTGATCAAATGGGCCTGAAATGGCTTAAGTAGCATCTACAGTATCTGAGTAGAAAGACACATGGCCTGAACGAAAGCTTCCCATTGCCTCTATAGTAAACCTTGCTCCAAAAACAGAGGTCTTGTGCCAGAGCAGCAGTTCAGGATCTTCCCACCACCTGCCCTCCAGAGTAGGAGCTCTTAGACCGAGAAGGGGAAGGGGCTTGCGTCCCCATGCATGGCCGAAATTGCCCAGGCCTTATTTGAACCAGTTTCTGACTTACAGTAACAAAAGATTCACCTAAAGGTCAGAGAAAACACACAGCACCAGTGCACTGAGCCCTGCACAGGGACAGCCTGCAATTGTAAGGGGACCAACTACAATAACTCCGCTCAAGTAAGAAGAGGTGCCGGTCAGGCTACGTACCACGGAACAGGAGCTGAGCTGCAGGCCAGGGACCAGAAGCCAGAACAGGAGCAGGCAGCAAGCCAAGGAGCCCAACGTAACACCATCCTGCTTCAGCCCTTCCCCAGTGCAGACAGCTCCTGCAAGGTGCTCCTTATATTGGCTGGTGAAGTTGTTTCTGCACCTGGGGCTGCCACAGCCCATCTGAGGGCAGCTGCTGGTGAGCAAACCTCAGCAAGGTTCAGCTGGGAGACCCTGGGTCTAAACAGAGCATGTTCTCCCACTGAGGATGCAGTAGCCAGCACAGGGCTCCCAGGTGCCTGCGGCACAGGTTCAGCAGTGCTACGGTGAACTTCCCTGATCCGCAAAGGCGATGTCAGAGGGTGAAGCTGAGGTCCTCAGAGGCCGTCTCCCCTGGCCCCACTGATGTGGGATGTTGCTGGCAGGCTGGTGTGCTTCCAGTTGATCCAGGGTGATTTCTCTTCATGTTGCCAGGGCTGAGGGAGTAGTTGTCTGCTGAGGAAAGGCCAAGCCGAGGACTTCTGGGAAGGATCAATGTGTTTTTCTACCTCTTCTCTCCCTTTCCCATTGCTGTGCATGACTTTTGTTGTCAATTGTTTCATGTCCTGGAGCCAGATCCCAGCAAGCAGCTGGCAGTGTTGTGCTGCCCCAAATGTGCCCTGTGGGTGAGGAGAGCAGGAAGGAGCAGCGTGATGTTTGCTTGGCTCAAAAGCAGCATCCAGCCATTGCTTCCTCCTTGCTGTAGCTAAACGTGACTGTTGGTAGCGCAGACTGGCTGGATTATGATCCCATTAACGTGAGCTCTCTGGACCAGTGGGTGAGAAACACCAGCCTCTGTCTGGCTTGAGCTCATGGCAGCTCCCCGGCCCTGTTTGTGGGCTCAAGCAGCTAACTTGCCTCTCCGCAATCCTAAAAGAAGGGCTCTCCTTCAACACCAACTTCTGCAGGCTTCAGCAAAGTAACCCTTGCTGTTCAGAGGACTCTGCTGCTTAATCCTGTTTTTCCTGGAGTCCGTTGAACGCAGTTGCTGTAACGGCCCTGGCAGGGAGCAGAGCCGGTGTGCTGCTGGCTCGGGTGGCATGGACTTGCTCTCCCATTGTGAAACTGAGCTCGAGGGTGCAGGAATGAGGGGGGAAAGAAGGCATCGATCTGGCAGCTGCTGCTGGGTGAAGGGCTAGCTTGTCCCCTGGAGCTGGCCTGCTGTGTCCACGGAGCATCCTTGCCAATTGGTGTTACTGCCGAGTGCTTCTTGACGTCTCCAACACTGACCTCCTTTCCTGTTGCTCTGTGGCCCCTACAGCTTTGGAGCGACGAGGTGGAAAAAGTAAGTACCCAGCTGAAATTATGCTCAACCCTTCTGGGCGTGCTGGTGGCGTTTAGGGGTGGGGGGTGCTGCGGACTCCGTCCTGCACACGTGCAGGGGAGGATCAGCGGGATCTTGCTGTTGCCAGCCCCACTCCTGATCCTGCAGCTGCGTGGTTCAGTGCGGCTCTGACAGTGGCTTGGGAAGAGCCTGCCCCGTGGGCCAGTTGGCTGTACCTGGTGTGAGAGACTTCCGAGGCAAAGCAGGCGTGCCTTTGTATGCGATAAAAGGCAACTCTGAGAACCCTGCACCAGTGTCGCAGGAGCAGAGGTGACGCGCTGCGATGTGATTCAGCTCTGTTCCTGTGGCAAAGGCCCTGCCTGCTCCAATTTTGCATGTGCCATGCATTAGCCTCTAGTAGCCCCTTGCCTGCTTGTTCTGGGGTCCAAGCAGGAGCTCTAAGCAGAGCTGAAGCGAGGACAGAGGGTTTCCCCGTGAACAGCCCCAGCTGCTGGAGGGGACAGCTCTGTCAGGAGGGCAGGGTGGGCGGTTTGGAGCCTGTCGTGGAGTCGATTCTGTCTGGGTGAGCTGCGCTTACCCTTCTGAGTGGATCCATGGAGGCAAAGTCCCAGATCTTGTTTATTTTCTGGGGTCTGCAAGGGGAGTGGGACTTGTCCATGAAGATGGATGGAGGGCTGCTAGTGGACTAGAGACCAGGGTGAGCTCTGTGTGGAGCTCCAGCATGGCATGGAGCTTCCAGAGACACCACCTGGGATCCCATTGCCTTTCGTACCTCAAACATCCCCAGCAGATGTTAGGCTGAAGCGTGAACTGCAAGGTGGTAGAATGGCACGTTCCTGCATGCTGTGCATGATAGCAACCTATTACTGCCTTGCTCCGAATGCATCGTCAGAGCAGACTGGATGTTTTTGAACCAGCTTATCCTGTACTTTAAATCCTTCAGTCCCTAAACAAATAAGCTGACTGCAGTCAGCTGTAGGTATGCAAGGCTCTGTTGCTCTATCTTTGGTCTATCCAACCAGGATGTCAGTAAACTTCAAAGTTTTCAGTGTCTCGGAGAAGCACAAGACTGGAAGGGACCTCCCAGGTCATGCTCTGATGCTGGCTTTTTAGGAAACTACGTCCTGCAGATGCAGCTCAGAGCTAGTGAGGAGAGGCAATGGGTCAAATCCCAGGCGGTGCCAAATGGAGCTGGGTCTGCCTGTCACAAGTTGCAAATAGCTCTGCTGCTGCGGAGGCCTCTGCTCAGCTCACTGGAGCAAGAATCTCTCGGTGCTTAGTAAGGCATTGCCCTGGTATTTCCCGTTACATTCCCCCTTCTCCTTTAAATAATCCCTTTCATACAGAGGATGTAAGAAAATAGATCAGTTGTAGCTTAAAATAGACAAATCTGATTAAAAGACAGTCAAAGCATTTCTTTGTTCTAGCCTAGCTGTACGACAGTACTGGTAACGCCATTACCAGATGAGAGATGTAATGGCCGCAGCAGCTCCTCCAGCTTGCCCTGCTGAGAAGGCTGGGTCTCCTCTGGGCTGACCCTGCTCAGAAACACCAGCGATGAGACCCCTGCTCGGAGACTGCCAGCCTGTCTGGATTAGCTCGCTGGGGTCAAGTCCAAACAAGTCGCTCCTGTGCCAGAATGATCAGGGCATTTCCAAAGCAGCAAAAGGAGCTCTCTCCCAGAACTGGTGCTGTGCAGGAACCACTGCACCAAGGCAGGCAGCCCTCCAGTTGCTGCACCCTCCCGGAGAAGGGGAAAAGGACACAGGACCCGTACTCCTTCCAGGAAGCCGTGGCTGAGTGGACATCACTCTGTGCTATCGGGTCACAGCACATCCTAAGAGGGAACTGGCATGTTCCGCTTGGTGTTAAGGAGTCATCCATGCTAGAGAGAACAAATGTGCCTGTTTGCACCCCTTTCCTTCTGGCAGCGGGAGGGGAGAGCAGGCTCCAGCGCACCTGCCTGCTCCAACACTTCTGGAGCTTTTCACTTTGCAAGGATCCGCCTGGGTATTCTGGTACTGCAAAACTGCCCTAGTGTAAATACGCTGTTTGCTGGTGGGGGAGAGATTTTCTGTCTGTTTGGTAAAGGTGGTCTCCGGTATCAGTCTGTTTTTGAATTCCCAATGTCTGCTGCGTAGCTGCCTTCTGTTAACTGTTGTTTAATACCTCCTAGCTCAAAATAAATAACTAGCTTCAAAGGAGAGCCTTGGGTAGAAGTTGGATTGGGATGTTCATCTCCATTGCAGAGAGATTGAGGTAGTAACAGCAGTTTGGTAAATGAGCCCTGGCCTCAGCCTTTGTTCTGTGGTGATAAAAAGGATACTGGCAAAAATTGCACTTCTGGAGAGAAACTTAGGGACGTTGTGACAGTCCTGTGCTTATAGGCTTAGGGAGAGGGCATTAAAAGGACAGGTGCTGGCGTGGGACTGGCTTTCCACATAGATCAGGATGAGCAAAGCCTCTCCATCTTCATGTTCTAGTCTTGCAGGAGTAGGAGCTTCCTAGGTGGATGCACCAGTCTTGAGCTGCCATTCCATGACCTGCCATGATCCCATGTAGGATCACGCAGGAATCAAGTTGAAAGACAGCCAGAGGCCTCTGGGATCCTAACCCACGGTGTCTTGTGCCTCATGCTCGGTGTCACAGGTGCACGTGGAATCTACTGAGCCAGCAGCACACTTGTCTCGGTGCCAAAGGGGTGGGTTGGTGGAGGAGCTGGGTATTGCCTCTCCCTGGAAGAGGTAGAACAGGGGTCCTTGCCTTGTGCGGTCTTGAACACCTTGTCCTGGTTTGCAGGCAGAACACGAGCTGCGGCTGACGCAGACCGAGTTTGATCGGCAGGCAGAGGTGACACGTCTCCTGCTGGAGGGGATCAGCAGCACACACGTGAGTCTTCCAGGGTAACGGGAGGGGGACAGGGGCTACAGAGACTCTTGGCGCCTTTCTAGAAGAATGCCAAGAGGATGATGGAGCCGTGCTTTGGAAGTAGAGGTAGAAGTCATAAATCTGGATGCTACAGCAACCTTCTCATAAGACCTGGAATGCTCAAAGGCGGTGGCACTGTGGCATCTGTAGTTCTGCAGTCCTTGAAATGCTTCTGAGCCAGAAAAACCTTGTTGTTCTCTCACTAGAGCTGTGGGCTAGCCCTGTGGGCATGACTAGAGTGCCAGGAGCAGCCTCCTCTCTCAGATCACCCTTGGGCCTATGCAACATTCCCAAACTTAAATTCACGCAAACCGCATAACTCTTAAATATTGGCCTGCAGAAGTCTGCTTCCCTTGGGAGCAGGTAGTAGCTGCAGGAAGAGAGTTCCTGTGCCTGGCAACCAAACTCACAGACCAGCTTATTGTCGTTCTCCCTCCAGGTGAATCACCTTCGCTGTCTCCATGAGTTTGTGGAGTCTCAGACCAACTACTATGCTCAGTGTTACCAATACATGCTGGACCTGCAGAAGCAACTGGGCAGGTGAGACAAGAGACGGCTTTTACTTCTCTGAGGGTTACTCATCCCCTTACCCCTAGCTCAGGTCTTCTTCCGCATCCCACATCATAATGTTGGGCAGAAGCTATAAAGCTCCCTCCAAGCTCTGACAGAGCTTCTGAGCTTACGGAATGGTGACCAATCCTGGTGGTAGTGAATTTACAGCAGGCTTTGGGTTTTACAGATTCATCTCAAAGCATGATGGCCATGAGAGTTCAAACATTCTTCCTCTAAATTAGTTAAATCACATGGGAGACAAATTCCTGTTGCCAAGCAGCAAGCCTGAGTGTGCTCAGCCGCAGCAGTAACTAATTCTGTGCTGCTGGCTGCACATCCCATGGGCGCGGGCAGGGCTGTTTAGTCTGTTACCTGCCCCATCAGCGCGGTGGCCTGACCCAGGAGGGGCTGTTGCCTCTACGTGATCACTCACTACTCCTGTTCCATTCTTTTCCATGCTTGCAGCTCGAAAGGAGAAATGTAAGTAAGACGTTGCACACGACTAGCTCTAAGAGCTCCCCACCTCAGCCAAACTCGAGTCTGCAGACTCCCTACAAAGGCCACCAAGGGCCAGAGCTGCACTCCCTTAGTGCAGAGGCGAGTAACTACAAGATAAATGAGACTGAGCTCCACTACTTTATCTACAGAGCCCAGAAAGCCTGGGAGCCTCCAGCTGTGGCATCCAGTTTAACAGCAACAATGACTGTCCCTTTCCCAAAGAACTAGCAGACTAAAGAGATAACACACACCATGTGAGAGCAGGACAAGGACATAGCACAATGGACCCAGTAAAACAGCTGCAGACCCAAGAATAGCACCTGGCCAGAGCCCTCTCTAGTGCTACACTTCAGTCCCGTGCTCTCTAAGTTAGGTGCCGGTCCTGTAGCAGGACACTGGAACCAAAATAAGCCAACAAATACTACCTGTTGCATGGTCTCAGCACCTGCTTCCCCACTTGAAGAGCAGTGTAGATATGTTACAGCTGTTAACTGGAACTCTTCAGCATCATCTGTGCAGTGTAGTGACTGAAAGAAAGAGTTCTTTCTTGGTTCCTCTTACTAGAGCTTTACTGAACTCTGCTTTTTTCTCCCATGTAAGATTTTCAGGCACATTTGTAGGCAACGCAGAATCCACATCTCCTCCCCCAGCTGCTACCTCTCCTCCAGCTGTTGCTTCTGCCACGCTCCCTGCTGTGCCTACTATTCCAGTTGTGCCCACCATTGTTGGGGTGCCCAATACTGTGGCAGAGAGTGTACTGAACCCAAACGAAGTCAAGCCTCCTGCCAGTGGGACACGGAAGGCCAGAGTCCTCTATGATTATGAAGCAGCTGACAGCACTGAGCTGGCACTTCTTGCAGATGAGGTTGGTAGCTTTCCTTTGTGTCGAATTTTGCTATAACTGCCTAGCAGCCTGTTGCATGCTTAGCAAGGTCTCGGTTACTTTTCCTGCCCCTAAAACCTCTGTTTTATGGAACTGCTAATAGCGTCTTTTCCTTGACACTTGTATCCATTGAGTTGCAGTGAGCTTGTGCTCATGGCCATTTGCTGTTTAAGAACATCACCCCAAGAACTCTTCTCTTCCTATTGGAGTCTAGCTGTACCCTGCTAACAAATACCCCAATACTTAGCATCTTCACTGTGACCCTCAAATATAGCTACCTTATCTGAGAGCAACTGGATCCTCTACTGGCTGGAGGCCTGGTCTAATCATGCTGAGAAAAAAGGAAATTCAGCGAGTTGCAAACCCTTTGGTTTGCTAGACTGAACTTTTGTATTCAGAAAGGATGACACAGCAGTATCTGCTATGCCACCCTGCATGCAAAAATACCTTCAGTCAGTTTGGAGAAAGAAAAGGCAATAGGAGCATCACTGGGCAGATTTCTGTAGAGCTCCTATTAAAGCTGCAGATAGCTCCAGGGGAAGGGCACAGATGCCTGCTAAGTGAACTTCAGGAATTACTGTTCTTTCGGTACCCATCTGACTGAACTTCTTGGCTCTGTCTGCAGAGTAAGGTCATGTCTAATGCTGTCTTCTCTCCCCAGATGATCACTGTGTACAGCCTGCCAGGCATGGATCCAGACTGGCTCATAGGGGAAAGAGGGAACCAGAAAGGGAAAGTTCCTGTCACTTACTTGGAACTGTTAAGTTAAATGTTTCCGGGAAGAAGAATGTACAAGCAGAATGCACCCCTCATCTCCTGGCACTTCTAATGCGGATTTCTTCATCCGAGACCATTGCTCTCTTCAGGGTTGACGCTCCATTGCTAATATGGGAATTGGGGGAAAGAAGTGGTAAAACTGTTACAGTAGGGTTTTGGGAAAGGGCTGATGGCACCCAAGACTGAATTCATTAACTACCAGTGCAGCCTGCTTTGAGGTTAGTCTTGATGGTGCGATTCCCTGACCCCTGTCTATCCCTGATAGACTTTTTTTCCCTTACCCTACCCAGTCTTGTTTATCGCAGTGGCTTTCCCAGGGCGAGCACACTCTAACCCTCAGCAGCTGCTCGCAGGGTTGAAGTTACACTTCCCTTGTGTCTGGTGTGGGTTGGTGCCTGTCTGCCCCTCCCGCCCTCTCTCTTCTTCAGCAGTAGAATTGCCCAAGTCAAACCATCAAGCATTCCAGTGGGGAAGTGTCCCACTCAAACCCTCTGACCAGTCCTAGCTCTTAAGGCAAGGATGCTGAATTTACTTCCCTTGTGTCTGGTGTGGGTTGGTGCCTGTCTGCCCCTCCCGCCCTCTCTCTTCTTCAGCAGTAGAATTGCCCAAGTCAAACCATCAAGCATTCCAGTGGGGAAGTGTCCCACTCAAACCCTCTGACCAGTCTCCTAGCTCTTAAGGCAAGGACGCTGAATTTAAGAATGAAGAACCTGTTAAGCCCACCCACTTTTCTCACCTGTGGGAGAACAGTAATGCAAGGCTCGCCAAGAGCTGCGCTTACTGTCGTGGTGCCTGATGGCTTCAAGCTAGAACTGTCCTCTGAAGCTGGAAGGAAATTTCTTTGTGAAGACCAACCTAGTAACGTAATGTCTGTATGTTGAAAATCAAACCTCAGTGCAAGGGACCATGCATCTTGCTTGCATTTCCTCTGAGAAAATGCTCTGGAGTTTACAAGCCTTTTTACAAGCTTTGCTCCCTGTGTTAATTGTCCAGGCTTTTCTTTCAGTGCGTCTGTTCCAGACATGTTTGAGCCTGACTTTATTTTCACCCTAGATCACTGATTTAACTAATGCTTCCCCTCCCGCCTTAGCAGTGAACAGACTTGGTGCACCCTGGCACAGAAAGGGATCGTCTCACTTGCTGTTATCTCCAACAATGAGCTGTTCTTGGCCATACACGCACTAAATAATCCAGGCTGCCCTTGATGTAAGTGGCGGTTTAGCTCACCGGGAGTGCTCAGGTGTGTACGCCTTTTAATCCTATAACGAGCTTTTTAGCTAGAGCTCACCTAAAGGACTTCTGCTGCTGTGTAACTAGTTTTCCACTCAAGCTGGATGGAAGGGAAACCCACCTGCACCAAGATCTCTGTTCACAACTTTCCCCTCGGTATGTCAGAACTATCTTTGCTTGTTTATTGATCTTTTGCACTTTCCCCAATGGTATCGTGACCACTCTAATGTAACAGGGCACTGAGCACCTGTGTATGTAGGGCTCATGGTTTTCAGCACTTATTTGCCAATAAACAAACTGCCTGAGCTCCTGCCTCCGTGTCTTGTGGGGGTTCAGGGCTGCCCTTGCTCTCCAGCCACACGACTGCGGGCGGTGGGGACAAGCCCAGAGGGAAAGGGAGGCAGCTCAGGTGGGAGCTGTGCCGTTCTGCTATCCCTGCCTTGGAAGCTGGGTGAAAAAGCAAAACAAAGCTGCTAAGCCTTCCTGTCCCGGCTGAAACTCTCAATATGCCTTATGGTTGTTAATGTCTGGCAGTTCCTTTCCCAGATGACACATCTCAGTTGTACTACAGATTCAGGAACTCTAAGAAACAACAGCTCCTCCTTAACCTAAAGCAAAAACAGAGCAGCAGTATGACTTTAGCTGCTGCGAGACTGGAAGTGCTATTCTAGATCTAACAGACTTTTGTTGTTATGGAAACTGGATCTGCTGCTAATCTAAAATCCTAAAGCCTGTCCCTACCACTCAGCTTGGAAAGAACTCCTGGGAAATGCAGCTGTTGAAATGCTCTGTAGCATAGCAGTAGTGCCCAGTTTTTCTAGTTAAACTGAAATCATGTTACTGTTTTAGCTAGCTTTACAATTGCCATGTTTACCACTACCACCATTCTACCCTTTTATAGATCTACCCCTGCCTATTTCCCTTCCACCCTATGCCACGTGTGCCTTCCCCCCAGGCCAGTGACATCCCTGTTTCCCTGTTATTCCTCTCCTGGGTGCATAAAACAAAGAACAACAACAGCTTCAGCAAAAACAGCAGCAGCTTAATGATGCAGAAAATGGTGTCTCTTCCCTCAGAAGAGGCAGAAGGAAGCCTGTTCCTGGCACAGCATTCCCTTCCCTCTGCATGAGAAAGGAGCATAAGCAAAATCTATTGCTGCTTCTAACCCGCTCTCTACAGAAGGGTGACGCTCTCATGCTGCTGATTTGCTGAAGGCTGTTCCATGCCCCTTTGTGGCTGAGGGGCAGACAAAGGCACAGGCAAAGGCTGCTGTCTAAAGTGAAGCTATAGCTCTAAAAGACGGATGTAACCAACAGCATCCACTATTTGTTGCTATCTGGTACCAAGTTCATGGTGCTAGGCAGGAGTCCTCTCACTCTAGTGCTTGAGTAAATATCTAAAGGAATGTATTCCTTCTCCCTAAATTCTCATTCTACCCATTCTTATTGGACACTAATAGAGTGATTAGCACACTGTGTGTAACTTCAAAAGCTGTAACAAAAGGACAGTAGCTACCAGAGTTACCAAATAACAGTCCTAAGCACTGCTGAACTTGCTTACATGCACTGGATTCTGGCTTTACTCCCACTCCCCATAGCTTCCTGTCACCAGTTTGCTCTTTTCTCTGCACGGTTCTTCACCTTCACATCTCCACGTTCACACTCCCGGTTCCCCTATGGCAGAAAGTGTTAATGGTCACAGGTAACCCCACCTAAACACGATCAGGCTCAGGGCTCTCACAACACCTCCCTCACTGTCAGAGCAGCTCACCTCGGTTTTTGGAAGGTAATCAAGCCCCTCTCCCTTCTACTTTAAGACCACTTTGCTCCAATCAGCTAGTTCAAATCTCTCCAAAGCCTCTAGGGCAAGTAAAACTAGATCAAACAAGGATCTTAGAGTATCACCATCACTTAAGCTTACAAGGGAAAAAAACCCCAAACCTCAAAGCAAGATAATCTAATTTTCTCACTCTAGTCTCTTAAAACCATCCAGATTAAAAAGGTTCTGACTGGTAGAGCAATCAAGTGTCTCTTTAGGAAAGAATTGGTAGGTTACTAGCTCACAGCTGCACTGAAATTTGATTTCTTACCTTAGAGAAGTCTGTCTAGATTTCAGGCTTTATTTTAAGCAATAATCACTGACCTTCTCATACTGTCTCCGTCACACATTGAGCTTTAGAACCTTAAAGAGTTCATTGATCTACTTGAGGGCGCTACAGCAGCACGACCAACTTCACTGTAGACAGTGTCTTTCTTCTAGCTCGAACCTGCACCCTCCCCTGCTGCTGCAACAGGCAGAGCAGCAGCTTGGACTCGTGCACAGAGTAATCCATGCGCACAGTCCACACCATCGTGTCCAGAAGAATCGTTCCTGAGTATTTTATAGCGATGCTCGTTTAAAACCTCCTACGAGTTCCCCAACATGAGAGTAAGAGAAAGGGAGTGGGTGTGGGAAAGCCGAGGGAATCAAACTTTGATTGTGATCACTTCAACAGTACCTGGATTGTCACTCACAAGCCACAACTCGCATCACTGTCAGCTGGGACTTCAGCCCAGCAGAACTGCTACGCAGAAGATGCAGAATCGGTGCTGCAGGCTGCTATGTCCAATACAGAACCATGAACTCAGCTGCTGTCTATAAAGGTTTTAATATCAGTATAAATAGGGCACAGTTACAAAAAACTGCAAGACTGGAGCAATGGAATTTTGACCAAAAAACCTCGAGTGAGGCCTTGCTCTTCAGAAACACACACAACACACAGACTGCAGGGTGAAGGGAAGGCGTGAGCACACATACACCATCTTGCTTTGAACCATTCAGTACAAAAATAGCAGTAGAAAGATGGTCTCTGAATTGCTGGCTGATCCCTTGGTTGTGCCTTAACTGGACTCTGGCTGCGAGGGAGAGGCAGATTGCACCTTGTGTTAAGAGCAGAGCTAATGCCCAGCGGAAAGTTTGTCTCTTCTCTCCATCCAGCCACAGCTTCCCCAGCTGAGGTACAAGCTATAAAAATAGAGGTTTTGACTGTTCAGCACTTGTACCCAGCCAGGATGCTCTAGCAGATGGAGTGAGCAGGCTGTGCACGTGGGCTGATCACCCAAGAGCCGCTCTCGGCTTTCCTTACATTCACTCTGCTACTGGGTTGCAAGAGTTCAACGGGATCTCGCTGCCGATGTTACAGCTCAGTTTACACCGCTGCCCACACCAGGCCTCCCTCCCTTTCCCAGTCCTTGTTCCACGCTCTGCCAAAGGTGATGCCTTCCGAGGTGGACATGAATCGTTCTGCTGCAAGTTCTGAAAAGGGAGGCAGCGGCAGGATAGAATCTATCTCTGCACGTGCTGGACAAAGGCCTGCACGAGCTGAAACAAAGGCTCCTGCCCCTCAGGACCCAGCTTGGAGGCAGACTTTCCTTGGGGAGAGGGAAGAACCCCGCTGGCAGGTGAAGAGGGACCACCGCGGCGGAAATAACGAGACAGGCTGGAGAGCAGCGTACTCTGAAATTAGAAGCATGGAACAAGTTAGCTTCTTTCAAACACATGCCCCTCTCCCTCCCCAAACAAGGTGCCGGTGGCACAGGAACAGGCACCAGTACGTGCAGCCCAAGATGCCTAAGGCTGTTCACCCATGCTGGGGAAGGGGCTCCACTGGGCAGCCAAAGACAGATGACCTTCTCCAACAGGACACATCTACACTGACCAGTGAGAAAGGATGGGACAAGCTTCTTACCAGCTCAGAGCTGAGCTCCTGTTTCATCCGCTGCTTATCACGGGGGTGCACAGCTGGGTCTCTCAAGTACCGAACAGCCTGGGAGATGAGCAGGTAGAAACAGTTTTCCATTGTAAACATGAGCAGAGACCTGTGCAAAGAAACGTACATCAGCAGGAGCCAAAAAGGTTAGCACACTCTAGTTTCAAGGTCAAGTACTCTTGGAAAGGCTTCACACACAGGGTACATACAAGGGAACACTGTTACTGTTCACATTCTGCTCAAGCAGTGATACCCAACAGCTATGGGCTGCAGAGCAGAAACTCCTGTTGGCCATCAGGAAAGTCCACTTTAAATGTACTGATAAATAAGCATCAAACAACTCTCTACACTGCATCTTAGGATGGGATGGCTTCATAAACCCGCCCAAAGAAATCCCTGCTTGCTTCGGAGAGCTTCTGATGAGCTATCTGAACTCCCTGGGTTCAGAGGGAGCAGCTTTGAAGCTACACGAATGCCTGTAAACCTCAGTTCTCGTCTGAGGAGCATGAGGTTCTGCTCCGTGGCCATGACGAAATCAAACAACCAGAAACTTACTTGAGGGTTTTGGTTCCCTCTTGCATATTCAGCCCTGCAGCCTGAGGGAAAGGTTCCTTCTTCTTATCCAGCTGAGAGGGGAAAAAAAAAAGCATTAGAGATAGGAGATACAAAGGAGGGAATACTCCTGCTCTTCAAAATATCAGTTGCATGAGTGCTCTGAGATCACTGCAACTGCTGTGCTCTCCCAAGCAGAGAAATGGCTAGTACCTCTCCCAACATGTTAAGGGCCACGTTGACTGTGGCAAGGAGGGTCCCAAAGGAAGGTGCAACATCTGAGTCAAAGGCTGGTGTGGTGAAACTCAAAACAAAGAGCACGTTGTACTCAGCAAGGTCCAGCGACTGTGGAGAAACAGAAAGAGGAGTGAGTGACCTCTGAGGGCATGAGTATGGTATTGTCATAGTAACAGGAATACCTAGTCCCTGTATCACACTTTTGGCATGGAGACCTAGAAGCACTGAGATCACTTCCCAAACCTCAAGTATACAGACAGAGCAGTAGAGCTCGTTCTGTATAGTACTGCACAATCAGACTGAACGGCTCTCCTGGCATGAATGAACCTTCTCCCAGCCCCAAGCCATACAACTTGCCACCAAGCGGCAAGCGAAAGTAACGACTGCTTCCAGACTTTTCAAACGCCCAGGCATACGTACCTAGAGGCACAGGAAAAGGAAGATAACTGTCCAGAAGTTAGCAGCAGGACACTGCCAGAATCAAGGATTACACCCTCCTTTTCTGAACTTGGAGACAAGCCACTAGGTCACACCGACACGGGAGGATAACAAGAGGTTGCCTTTTCTGAACAGTGGCACACTGAGGATACAAACCCATCTGGGTTATCAGTCTGCTCCGGTAAGGTTACCCACATACAGCGTTGTGCAGATCACACGAAAGCTCAGCCAAGCCTTCCTTTCACACTGATCAGCACCTGACTCCTAAGGGGAACTCCTTGTGTCCTGCCTTCCTGCTCTGTGCAGCAGAACAGCAGACAGATGTATGGTGGGGTCGTCGTCTGAAGCAGGACAGACTGTGCCTCACTACACAGACCCAGAACATCACTTGAAACGCTGGAAACTCCCCACCTCAGGGAGCAGCAACTCTCCTCTTTCTCTACCTGATCAAGGAGGATCTGGCAGACATCAGGGGTGAAATGGCGCAGGGCAGCAAGAGATTTGCTGAGGATTTTCAAAAGGCTGTACTGCACTGTAAGCAGTGCTTTCTGCTCTGCTGCCTCTGACTCGGGACTAGGATGTTTGGAGGAGGCTTGGGGATTACGCTGCACTCGTGGAGTCACACTTGATGGAAGGGAATCACCATTTTTTGTCTGTGGAGAAAGAAAAAATAAAGTCCTGAATACAGATATGATTATCTTTGTACTAAGATGAATACTCCGAGGGAAAAAAAAATGCTATAAACAAAAGGAGTGAGGAAATAAGGCACCCAAAGTCTGTCACCTGCTAGAAGCACGAGAGTCTACACTTAGTGCGCATCGAGGGAGGCACTGCATTGCAGGAAGGCAGCTGCAGAGGCTATTTAGATTCCACATTCCAGAAAAAGAATCTCTAATCAACACACCAAGCCTTAGCCATGCTGAAATAACACATCAGTAGCAATGCATTGTCTCCACCTCATGAATCTAAGGATTCCCCAAGAACAAGAGCTCTCTCTCTTGAGCAAATTAAATCAGATCAAGGACACCAGGTCAACAGTGGCTTAATTGATGGCACTACAGAGTACTACAGCAATGCAGCCTTCTTGCTGCAGTGTGGGCAGCTACAAAATGATAACAGCACCATTCAAACACAGGCTGCTGTTTCTCTAGGACTGGCTTTACACAGTCCAGAGTTTTTAGAGTCCAGGCTACTCTTCGCACATTTTTTTTGCTGTGGAGAAATGTAAATCCTAGCTATTGATCATTGCCGGTAATCACCACTAGGATTACTGACAATCAGTTCAATATCCAAGAGCCTGGATATTGAAAAATATTTGCCTTTTAACAGGGAGCACGGGCATGCAACACTCCTAACTTATGGTTTGGTTTAGGGTCCCCATCCTCACCTGCAGGTAGTGCTGGAGCATTTTGCGGCTGTGCAGGAGGGAGGTACAGGCCTGACACAGGTAACACAGATTCACCTGAAATAAATAAGGGAGGGAGAAATCTCTTAAAAGCTCAAAATCCATCTATTCACAACCACTGGTGGAAGCTAGAAAATCCAGTTAAACACAAGACTGTGATCATAAAGGATCAACGCAGTCTCTTCATTTCCCGGTATTTTCTCAGCGTCAGTTGGCACTGAGAACTGAGAGTAAGACATTGAATTCCCCAAGTTATTTTTGCAAGCTATCATTTTTCTGTCCCCAACAGTTATCCTTCCTCACTCAATTCAGACAAGGCACTGACAGAAGAGACATTTAAATGACCTCAGCAGTAGTTCCTATTAAAAAAGCAGTAATAAAAAGGTGATACAGCCATTTTGTCTTAACACATCCAAATCCCTTGTGCTCCAAGGCAATGTATTATCCACAGCAATATCCTGATTCCTACCTGCATGTCCCTCATAAGCTGTGGCAGGTGGAAATGCCACTCCTTTGTGAAATTTGAGAGCTGAAGAATGAAGCCAACAGTGTGATCGGCCTCTTCCAGACAGGCCAAGCTCTGTACTGTCCGTACTGCATTCAGGCACTGGAAAGGAGAGAGAAGTAAATCACGGCAATGACAGTTAAATCACAAAAATCTCATTCCCTCCTCCAGAAGAAAAAGTTGAAGATGTAGAGGATCTGCCCTTAGGGACAGAAAATGTATTCATGAATGCAGCCGCACAGCACGTGAGTCAGATTTCAAGCACTTCATATTCCTAGCCAGATGCCAATGCATTTCATGAACTGTGCTGCCATACGAAAAGACAGCTACTTGTCTAGGGAGCATGCTTTTAAACAGGTAATTCAGCATCTAGGTACAAACAGGACTCTTCAGCACATCTGCCCTGACAGAATCCAGCCAGTAGAGGTACCTCAGTATTGCCGGACAAGCGAGCTTGCTGAGCTGAATGGTGACTGAACCCTGACCACAGCATTTTCATTATTTGAACAAGGCTGAGCTGAAGCTGCCTCCAAGAACAGCTCTCATACTTCTCTTTCCAGAGCAGACAGCCACACAGTGAGTTCCCATCAAACTCTCACTTCTGCTACTGTGTTGAGCAGGCATCTTAAACATCTGTGGCAAAGTTATAACCCCAAGAGTGAACAGGACGAACAGAGGGTGACTGCCCAGCTCTAACAAGTATCATAATAATCTTCCCTGCCTGTCCACATGGCTTGTATATTCTATCCTCCTTCTCCCACTATTGAACTATTTCCACTATCAATCCTTCTGAGGCAGGAGCCACTTTTCAATGCTTCTGCACTTTCTGACTTGTTTTCACTGCTATTGCCACACAGAAACCAAGCGAACCATCACAGAGGAAGTATGTGACACACCTGAAGAATCCTCTCTTGATGGACACCAACAAAGTCCAGTGCTTCCGTCAGGAAGTTGTATCTAAGTGTTTTAAGAAGGCGTTCCATCAGTGACATGGAGAGACGATAGACCCCAGGCCAAGAGGGGGCATCCAGAGACTTTCGAGATGAAGCAGATGTCTGAAAAAATCAGATACAAAAATAAATTATTTATTTACCCTGCTGCCCAGCATAGCACACACCACAAACCCTCCACACTATTTTGGAAGTCTCCAGTCTCTAGGGGTGGCTGCTGTCCTCCCTGACAAGGAGGGCTCTGCTCCAACCACAGCCTGCAAGGCAGGGCATGGCAAGCTCTCCCAGCGCATTCCCAGCCAAAAGGAAGTAGCACCCACCTGAATGGCTCCATTACTGCTGAGCTGGTACACGCTCAAGAGGGGCAGGCAGACGCTTTGTGTGACACCAGCTCCAGCCACTGCTGCTGCTCCCTACAAGACACAGAACAAACTACTGTTTAAATCTGCATGTGTCTCTGCTCTCAGAGACTTCTTTTGCATCAGATGTTTCTGTCCTTCGCACTGTCACCACCCTTTTAGAGAACTTTCACCTACACACACTTCTACGTTGTTAAAAATTCAGTATCAAGAAAAGCAACACTGTTCTTCCAGTAAAATCTAACCTGCATAACTGTACCATGAATTCCATTTCAGTACCACCTGGTTTGGCACGTACGTAATCTTTGAAAAGGGCTGGTTTTGGAATGACCTTGCTTTCACCTAAAGCCCCACAGAAGTTGAATTTGTAACAGATAAATAACGCTTTATTGCAACTAATGAGAAAGCAAGTTCCAACACTTAATGCAGTTTTAACTGGGGGAGTGGGGTGTGTGTGGGGGGGGCTGGATAATTTGCATTGCAGAATACATTCAGTGAAAATGCCTGCTCTAGATTACAGGTCTGCTCTGGCTGGCTCAGCTGTTTCATCCAAGACATCCCATTATCAAGAAGAACAAGGGAAACTAGGCAGGTGTACATACAGGACCTATAGCTTGCCAGCCTCTCAAAAACCCTTTATCTACAGTTCATTGTTCAGCTGCACCACAGACAGAATAATGAGATAGATGGTTCCTATTAAAAACGTATAGCTATATGCTCTCATTTCTCTGCATCTCTCACCTGTTGAGTCCTTGCTAAGGTCAGCAGTAAATGTAATGAGGCCTCTGTGAAGTGAAGGTTTTGTTTAACTCTCAGGCTGATCTCCAATGCGGCAAAGATAGTAGGAAGCACAGGGATTTTCCTAGTAATCTGTAGCCAGTAGTCTCCATCTTCATCAACTTCACAGAGCTCTTTAGCCAGATGCAGACCCAGAACACACACCTGCAGTGACAAGGAAAGGAGAACAAGGTATAGGCTTGACATGGGTACCAAGAAAATCTTGAAAGTACTTACTAACACAACCCAAAGTTCATTCTCAGAATCATAAATTAAGGCACCTGGTATCCCTCACATTACACTCCACACTTCCTAGCTGTATTAGCAATCATGATGACGGGTTTCAGGACAGATATGAAAAAGAGGCAGCAACAGCCAATTTCCCAGACTGACATGTGCCAAAAAGACACAGAGTAATTCTGAAATAGAAACTGCGAAAA